ATGTGCTAGTCTTTCTTCTATCCTTTCCTGATCATCTTGTTGTTCTAAAATAAGATTAATAGGACAATTGTTTATTTGTTTGAAGATAGGGGGGGGGGGGAAGAATGAAAGGAGTCTTCATAAAATAGGCCAGTGTTTTTAGAACAGTAGCTGCTTTAAAGTGAACTAAAAGGTCTTGATAATTGACTAGACTTAAAATATTCTACTCTTCGGCATTTCATTAAAAATGGCTTTCAAACATATGCATGAATATGTTATTGGAAACACTGTCCTAAATTTTATGTAAGTTCCCATCTATTTTAAATAAAATAAAACAAAGGGAAGGTAGATATTTTGGGGGCAGAAATTTCATTTTTCCATGCTACTTTGGTTAATAACAAATTAGATGCACATTTGTGGTTCTAGGATCAGCCTCTATGTCCTCCTCTCAAACACTGAGCTACATTTTTAAGCCACACAGTTTCAAACAGTCAAAACAAATTATGAATTATTATCTTGGGATGGTATATTAAATAATATATTTAGCCCAAATTTTCATCTTTTTCCCCTCAAATTTTTCCTCCTTCACAAAAGTAGGCATGGAAAAGCAAGCACAAACTTCTCTGGGGAAAATGTGCATAAAAGCAGCAGGAAAAGTGGATATATCCAAAAGCCAAGACAATATCAGCAGAGTTTGAGTTTTTGTTTTCCCATGAATGTATTTTAGATCTTCAAAAAGCCTATTCGGAAATATATTCAGAGTTCCACTACCATTTTTCCTTAGTACTCTATAGTACTATTATAGAAGTGGATTCTTAAGAAAAATATATATGAAAATTCCTCTCTAAATTCTGGAGAACTGAATCCATAAATCCAATATTTGAAAATAGCCTTCAGTTAATTATGGAAGCAAAGATCAATAAGTTTCTAGATTCTAATAACTTTGATACATATCTATTATAGAAGTGGATTCTTAAGAAAAATATATATGAAAATTCCTCTCTAAATTTTGGAGAACTGAATCCATAAATCCAATATTTGAAAATAGCCTTCAGTTAATTATGGAAGCAAAGATCAATAAGTTTCTAGATTCTAATAACTTTGATACATATACATGGATCTACATATCCAAAATTATAGTAATCTTACCTGTCTTTTTCTGTGTCAAAAATATTTCATTAAAAAGATTCAAGTAGAGTGATGAAAAATCAAAAACTAAAACTTGCATGGTCAGCTGTACTACAAGTGAAATAATGTTATATTTAATTATTAGTGTTAAAAGAACATTAGCAAGTGTGTGTTTTTAATATGAAAAGGCTTATTTTGTTTTATTTATGCTTTCCATGAACATTTGCAGTGTGCAATCTTGAGATTGTTTCAGGGACAGTAAAATACATAAAAAACACAAAACAAACAGAGTTCACACAAAACACATTAATAAACATGGGAAGCTTTTTAAAACGACACACAAACCACACACCAAAAGCAGGGCCAGGGGTAAAAGAGAAGAAACAACAAGCAAAACCTTGCAATTTATGACATGCGTAGCAAAGGGAATCCCAATGGCTGGCAAATACCTTCAGCGTGATCAGGGACATTTTCATCAGGAATACGCTCAATCAGAGTCTCAATAGACTCATCCCAAATGGGCCTGGTGTCAAAGATGTCCTCGGCAAGTGACTGCTGGGTCTCAATGGATGGCACATTTTCAATAACCGAAACTTCTAGGGCACTACTACTTTCATCATCTGAAACTAATTCTTGTTCTTTCTCTGACTGTGTAAGTCTATCCACTAACTTGGAAGCTTCATCGCTAATCTCTTCAAAGAATTCAATAGAGTTTTTGTAAAGGTCAAAAAAATGTTCCTTACTTTCTTTTGAGGGACTAACAGCATTTCGGGAAGCTGAGGTACTTCTGCTCTTAACAGGTAATCGTGAAGAAAATATCTTTGGTCGGGCAGTCACCAACTCATCTGATTCTAGCTCAAGCTTCATCTCACCCACCCTCTCTCTGGTCTCTGCTTCTGCCTCAGCATAACTTCTAGCTTTGACTGAATGCTTAGCTTTTGAGTCCATAGAGGCACCGGCATCAGACTCAGATTTGCTCCTAATGTCTTGTTTCATAGGTACTTTGCAGGTTATATCGGGGATGTTAGATGACTCTGAGTTCCAGGCAGATGTTTCTGTCTGTATAGATTCTTGCTCACCTCTTTGAAAAATTGCCTTAACTGGAATTTTAGACTTTGGTTTGGAGGGATCATCTTGTGGTTCTTCCAGGTTGTCTATAAAGCCAACTGAAGGAAGGCTCTCAGGTTCTGACTTTTGTAATGATGGCAATGTAGCTGGAGCAGTCCTTATGGGGATTTTGGATTTGCTTTCAGTAGAAGGCACACTCTCCATGGCAGCGGTGGGGATTTCAATCACAGATTTCTGCTCCTCTGGTGAGGAATCTGGGGAATCATCTTCTTTTTCAGCATAAACAGACCTAGTGACTGTTGAAAAATTTAAGTGTACATCAATCACTGTCTGCTCAGGAGAGATAGGACAAGGCACCTGGAAGCTATCAAATGCATCACTAGAGGTGAGGTCATGATCAGAAGCTGTTGTTTCTTTCTTTGGTGATTTTGAAGAGGCTGAAATACCCATTTTAATAGGAATTCTAGATTTAATATCTTCTTTTGTACTATATAAAGCAGTGGTCTCATCCTCTGATACAGATATAAATGAACTTTTCATAGCTATTTCTGCTTTATTTAATTCAGAAGATGCAACTGAAATTGAAGATTGTTCCTCAGGGGGGCATTCTAGGCCTTCAGCTTCTCTCATTTCTTCAGATAATGATACTTCTTCCTGAGACTGCTCTCCCAGCTGGAAAAAGTCTAAGTTTTCATCAGAATAATTCCTTTTAGTCATATCAATGGCACCACTCCTTGTCATTTCAAACAATTTTCCTTCCTGGAAAAGAAAGGGATTTGGTTCACTGGAAGGAGTCCCATCTTCAGTAGGAGTTCTGGCTGGTGTTGTATCAGGTGTGGTGCCTTGTGATCTCCTGTCTACCATTAAGCCAAATATTTTTTGTTCTTCCTCCTTCACTCTAGCCTCAAAAGCATCATCATCTTCCCGAATTTGACTCCACTTGTCAGAATCAACATCTGTCCTGGTTATAATTACTTGGCTAATTATTTTTTCAGCTTCATCCCTGATATCTTGTAAAGCAGCTTCATCTAGTGATGTGGAGTCTGATGCTGAAGGTAATGAAGCTGATGTTTTCTGAAAATTGTCCAATTGCTTGGATTCTATCTCCATAGAGACACCTTCTGAGAGCTGAACTTCAGATCCTTCTGATACTGTTCTATAAAGAGAACTCATTCTTGTACCTTCAGCAAATTTAGTTTTTTCTTTATCAGAATAATCTTCCTTAGGTGACTGGTCTATTCTTGTCTTTAAATCAATTTCTGTACTAATTTCATCATTATTAAAAAAATGCGGTGATGGGACATTTTCATAAGGGCTTGTTATAGGCAGAGCACTACTTTTGCCAACTTCTTCTGTATCACTTTCATATTTACCCTTTTGGGTTGTTGGAGATGAATATCCTGTAGAGTGCTCTGTGCTAGAAAAAACCCTGTCTGACATCTCAAACCTGTGGTCAGTTCCAGCCATATCACTTCCCAAAGTGGAGTGATCAGGTGAAACATTAGTAGCCAATACATTATTTTGTGAAACATAGCAATGAGAAGTCCCAGGTATACAGGAACCCTCTGAAGTTCCTATAGTAACTAGGCCTTTTGGTGACACCCTTTCAGATGCTACACTATCTTTTAAAGAATCATCCTGGTGGTGTGATGCCACTGAAGTTTCATATAACTCAGTTATTTTTTGAGCATCATCATCAACAGAATGGTAGAAAGATTCCTCAGGTGGCATCATAGGGCCATTAGGGCTAACTGTGTCACTCTCATCTGTGCTGTAGCACTTAGATTCGCTAGCCTGTGCTATGATGCTGGCATCAGAGGCAAGTGAAGTATCACATGACATTTTGGTTTCCTCGGTTGGTTTATCGGATTCAGTGTTATCTTCCTCAATACTGAATGTTTGCTGCTTAGACTCAATAGGCTGAAATCCTGTCTCTTCAGGACTGGAACTGGAATCCATATTGCAAAGATGAGATGAAGAAGGCTGCAGTCTCATTATAGGTTCCATTAACAGCCCAGAATCAGCTTCTTTTTTCAGCTTTGTTAATTCTGGCTCACTTTCTGAGGAGGAAGAGCTTTTTCTAGATACAACTCCAGAGGTCACTACTGTAGATATAGCACTATCTTCTAGAGTTGTTGAAGGTATAATTTCAGTTTCAGAAGCACCTTCCAAATCAGAAGCTGAAATAGTGTCATCTTGTTTGGAATCCTTTCTATAGTCTCTCTTCTGTTTTGCTTCCTGTTCCAGCTCATCAAACATCTTAATTTTGGCCACCATTTTAAACATCTCCTCTTCTGGGGTGAACCTTTTCTTTGGCTCACCTTCTGAATCATCTTCTGGCTCTTCATTAACTTCAGGAATTACTGCAGACTTGGGTATGTTTGCGAGCACCTGTGAATCTGTTATTTTTGGTGTGATTTCATAACTAATTTCTTCAGAGCTAGGAGTCTCAGGTGAAAGAGGGCTTTTTCCTGAGCTCTCCAAAAGAGATGTTTGTTCTAAACTGTCATCTTCAGCACTTCCATCAGGATCACGTAAGAGTCTAGATCGTACAGGAGTTAGTTCTGGGAAGTTTTCAGCTTTAGCAGGAGTAGCCTGAATTGGACCAGGACCTGGAAGGAATCCAGCCTTTGCTTTCTGTTCTACAG